TGGCTCTGTGTAATTTATAGAAGTTCCTGAGCAACGAAGACACAAATTCGTAATATTATTCTCTTTAGAAAGTGTTCCTGTAGGGGAGAGATTTGTGATATGCACCGCTACTACCTGGCTTATGGACAATACAACACAATAGTGTTCATTGTAAACAATTCAACAAATTCATAGCCTAGTGAAATGAAAAGACGCTTCTCAAAAGATTAAAGCATAATGTCTAATATATGAAAAAAGTTTAATATCACTAGTCTTCAGAGAATGCAAATTCAAATGACGCTGATATTCCATCTCAAGCCTGTCAGAATGGCAGTCATTAAGAAAATGAATAATAAGGCAGCCAAACCTGTAATCACAGGATCCAGGAGCTAGAGGTGGGCGGATCAACATCATCTTTAGCTACAGAGCAGTAGGAAGCCAGCCTGACATGTACAAGAACCTGTCTCAGAAACAAATGAAACAACTGGCAATAAAAAAGGAAACCTCTCTGGGCCTCTGATGGTGCGTGACTTACCCTTAGCACTCAGGAGGGGGGCAGAAGCAGGCAGAGGTCTCTGAATTTCAGGTCTACCTGGTCTATATTATCAGTTCCGGGCCAGACAGGGTCATATAGTGAGAATCCAGTATAAAAGAAGAAAAAATAAACCAAAACTAAAGTGGGGGAAACCCCATACAATGTTGATGGGAATGAAATAATGTAGCAACTATGGAAATCAGCATGGAGGTTCCTCAACGTATTAAAAACATGTAGATACCACATGACCAAACTGTACCACTCAGGGTATTTACCTATAAGACTCCAAGCTGACAAGTCACAGGGACATTTGCATATCAATGTTTACTGTAGTATAGTCACAATAGCTAAGTGATGGAACAAACCTAGGAGTCTATCAACAAAGAAATGGATAAAAACATGATATATATATATATGTGTGTGTGTGTGTGTGTACATATACACATAGATATACATATAGGTATACAACGAACTTTTTAATCATAAAGAAAAATAAAGTTAAATGTTGTTTACAGGAAAACAGGTACAACTGGATGCAATATTAAGCAAAGGAAGTCAGTTTCAGAAAAACAGGCATTGCATGGCTTCTCCCATCTGCGATTCTTAGATTTCATGAAGATCTGTGAAGTTACGCATGTAGGAAGAACTGAAACTGGAGAGGAACGAACGGAATTAAGGTGAAAGGCGATAGGAGGAACGGGAGAGGGAAAAGCAGACGGAGGAAACAAGATCCAAATACACTGATACTTAAATGAAAATGCCCTCATGTAATGTAGTAATATGTAGAACAAACATACACAAATGAAAATACACAACAAAGCAACCAGTACTCGGGAGGCAGAAAATTAATCTAATTTCTGTAAATTACAGGCTCTTCTGCTTTACATAGTGAGTTCTAGACTGGCCATGGCTACACAGTGAGACCCTGTCTCAAAAAAAAAACAAAACCAACAAAAAAAAAAAAAAAAAAAAAAAAAAACAAAAAAAAAAAAAAAAAAAAACCACACCAAACAAACAAGGGTGGAGGAAGAGGGGGAAGAGTTCACATTTTATTGCTCTGTGCTATGTTGATTCTAAATACAGCATTTTTTTTTTGCAATAGGAGATTTCATCCAAACTACAGTAAATTAATTATATGCAGACAAAATACTCATACAGAAAAAAATTAAATAGATCTTCAAAAAATAAAAAAAAAAAGTATTTCACAGTCAATAGGGCCAGTTTTGAGCACGGCATGGAAAGTCAGGCATGGAGAACCAGGGATGGAAGGTACACGTTTAGTTTTAGCACCAGAGAAGCAAAGACAGGAGGATCTCTGTGAGTTCCAGGCCAGGAGAGCCCATCTTAAAAACAAAAACAGTTACAACACACAAACAAACAAAAGCATAGAAAGGTTGCATAACTTGGAGTTCTAGCATTTGGGAGGAGAGGAAGCAAGGTCTCAAGCTGGAGACCAACCTGGGCTACAAAGTGAGAGCCTGTCACTGACAAACAGCCTTAACATCTGGGAGACTAATACTTCTTGAAAGAGCCTCCTGCGGAAGCTCCCGGCTCCTGTGACCTGCCTGTCGCACTGGCCTCCAGTCCTCGGCAAATAGCATCGTTACAAAGATCCCTGCGGTACACAGAATGGTCATTTGTTTGAAGGGGGCCGTCAGGATTTTGCCTTTTCTCTCTCTACTTTACTGTTATTAATTAATGAATTAAAGACAAGTTTTCAGAGCTGGGGACCCGGGCTTGTGCACACTAGGTAAGTAATCCGCCGAGCTTCCCCACCACCCCTAGAGTTTAAAACATTTAAAAGAAGTACAATAGAGAAAATGCTCAGAGTGGTCACAGGTCTCCCTATAGCCCCTAAACTGCTAGTGGAATAACAGGAGCCTGTCACAGGCTGATGGATAGGACACCGGCTTTAGCAGAGGGTGGGGGAGGGGATGTGGGGGAAGAGGCTGGATGCCTACTGTTTTCTTGAGCACACAGTATAGTCTTCATGATTAAGATTGTAATTTCCTACAATTATAATTGTTTTCTAAAAAGGGATTTTTTTTTTTAAAGATTGAGGTGGTAGAAACTTAACTGCAGCAGAAAATAGCCAAGCCAAACAAGATTATAAAACACTGTTCAGGAAGCCTAGTATTTTGAAACTAAGAACAAAGAAACAATGAAGAATTAGTTTCTGGCACCTTTTGAGCTCAACAAGTACTTAAAAGCAAACATTTAATTTTCTTTCTCTACTGTGCTGGTCCTTGTAAAGTAGTTTTTGCCAACAGGAAAATAATTGGTGGTGTTCTAACACAGTCATTTTCTGACAGTGGCCTAAGAAAACTTCAGGAGACGCATGAATGGGATTGGTCGGAAATTGTGTCAGTCACAGAGATGGCAACATTCTTGAGTCCAGAGTAACGTGTTCACTATGTACAAGGAAAAAAAAAGGATGATTGATCAGAGTGAAATGAATCCCTTGCCCTGGCAAACAAAGAGCAGAGAATTGATGAACTAACATTTGCACACTCGGAAGTTTAGGAAGTTCTTACAAACTTCCTTAGTGACATGAGAGTCCTAAGGAAGGGACTTACAGAGCCTTGGCATGTGCCTTTGCCCAAAGAGCCGTCTTGTTGACCTTAGGAAGTATTTTTACAGATAATTTTTAAAGCTTAAAAATAAATTTCTGAAAAAATATTTTCTGGGGGTAGAGAGATGGCTCAACTGTTTAAGGGGTGTGCCGCACTCACAGAGGACCTGGGTTTGATTCCCAGCTCCCACCTCTGGTGGCTTAAAATTGCCTTGTAACTCTAGCTTGCGGAGATTTATTAACCTTTTATGGCCTCCACAGACACTGGTACACATGGGTACACAAGCAGGTAGGAACTCACACATACATGTAAAAATAAATACATTTCTGGTTTTCATGGTTTTGTCTTTGGAAGACACTGCTGACTTTAAGACCGATAGTTTTCAGTTTTACCTCTCTGCTGTTCCACCCTTCTCCCTGAGCCTTGCCCTATTCATAACATATATTTTTTAAAGCTCTTATACACCTGACATTGTGTATTTCAGGCTGTTTATTATGTGTTTATGATCTGCCTTTGGGTTAGAATGCAAAGTCACTGAAGATAAGGGCTATGAATTTTTTATTCGTGTTGTTTGCTTGGTAGGAGACAATGAACAAATAGCTCAGTAAATATTCGACGACTAAAGCAAGGCGGTGCGCTGCGCTTTCAATGCTGTGCAGCTGGCATCGGTTGTGCAAACTAAATGTTTACCTTGGTTCTGCTTGGACACTGTAATCGTAAAGGTTTGACCCACTGTGAATCTTCACAATTCCTGTTTCAAAATCGCCAAGGCAACCCTTTCGAGGCAGGAAAGGATGCCCGTAGCAGGCCTACGGGAGACAGTGAGAAGGGATATTTACAAAGTTACTGCTCCAGCCAGGTCCTTGTTCTACACCGCCCAGATTTCTTTCAGCACATTTAAGAGTTGAAGTGCCAGCCAGGTTCTTTAACTCAAGGACCTACAAAAAAAAAAAAGAAAAAAAAAAAAAAAAAAAAAAAAAAGGA